GCCCTCCCTCATTCTGCTGAATGCCACCTGTTTTGATCAGGGACAGGGCAAAGGGCTATTTTTGCTCAAGTTCCCCCTCTCAGCCAGTGGCCTTGGCGAGCATCAGAAATGCTCATCCTGGCCAAGAGGCTGAGGTACGTGGCCAAAGCAGGCAGCACTGCAGATTCATCACAGAGCAAGTCAGGCTCAGGAAACCCCTGCACATCCCCCAAACTGTGATTTGCTAAGAGGAGGAAAACGCTCCCCTCTCCCTGCCTTCTTGCCTCTAGAGATGGAGTGTGAGAGAGATAGAGAGGTCCAGAGTCATACTAGCTGATGGAAGTAAGACAGTCATGAAACTCTCCACCTATAGCTCCTAGTTGCCTCGTGCCCACAGCCCGGATCCACCCACAGCCGCCCCCGACCAGCAGCTTCCCTGGCAACAGGCTGCCCTGCACTCTGCAGCAGCCACACCAAATGTGGATCAGTGCGTGCAGCAGGGCGCTGCTGGAGCTGTGGGGAATGGAGCTCTTTACCTATCAGGAGAGGTAAGGAGCGAACCGTACGCTTAAGCACAGAGAATCATAAAGAAGTAGGGCTGGAAGGGACCTCTCTGCACAACAGGCCTGTAGTGGCAAGTCACAGCTGTGCAGGTAGGGGAAAGTCAGAAGGTTTCTAGACTAAAGTTACGATGGCTTGAAACCCCAACCTAGCACTAAGCTGATCAAAATTTGTGCGGCTCAAAGTACAATGTGTAACAAGGCCCTGAGTAATTTGTTTGTGAACCCAGTGCTGGAATCTAATTCAATTCAAGGTCACTCCCCTTTCTCCACCTGAAAGGGCAGCACCCCGTCCTTCCAAGTATTGACAGGCAGTTCTGTGAGTCACCTTTCAACCTGGTCAACATGCACTAAAACCAGACTGACCAGCAGTGTAAGGAAAAGGGTAAGCAAGCAGTGGGAAAGATTATTGTAACTCTTGTGCACCCAACATACAACCTTGTGTCTGGGGTCAAAGGACAGTTAACCTTGTGGCTGTATAAACATCGGGGGGGGGGGGGCATCTTAGTTTTCTCATCAAGTTAAACAGATACAAGACATTACCACCGATTTGTCTTTTAAAAAACACTCAGTGAGTTCCATTTAGAGACCTATGTCACAACAGCATATTTAACAGCCTGTTACATTGGAACCACAGCAAGTCAAGAATTCAAAACATAAGCTCCTTCATGGCAAACAGCAATTTCCAGTATCTGCAGATAGTTAGTGCTACACATAAGGAAAGATTTTTATATGTAAACTTTGTTTTATTTTCACTATACAAAACAAAATTAAAAAACGGAAAAACATCCAACATGGAGACAACAGGAGGAGAGAAATCATCATTCAAGCCACAGGGAAAAAAAAACAGAATTTCAGCAGAGCCCATCCCCTTTAAGGACAGGGTATAATCTCCCAGCAAAGAATATATCAAGAGAACAAGGAAGGCTGGGGCTACTGTAGGATACTACCTCTGAACATCTGGTAAAATATGTCCTTGAACAAACTTATTCCATCTTTAAGTTACTGAAATGGCATTCATAACCAGTAGGTAGACTGCCTGAGGACATTTTACAACCAGGCAGTGCCCAGGAGTTAAAAATACTGGCTCAATTTTATTATTTTAATCCTTACTTAAAAGGACAGAATAGACAAACTGTACAGATAACCCATATTAACAAATAAAGTTTTAGCTGCACTTCCAGCAGGCTACAGAAGGTCTAGCATTCACAGTATTTTCCTTTGTCTATATCCAAGGAACTCACAAAAACATGAATGATTTATTGCAAGTGAAACTCTAAGGTAAGATATTACAAATAAGGAGGACACTATGAAACGCACGTACTTCTCTACCGCTGATCGTTTCTGAGATTTACTCTTGTAATTTAATGCCATCTTCGTCTCCATACCTGTATACACTGCAACACCTGAAAAAAACAGAACCATACTTTAGTTCCTGTCTGGGTACAGCTTGGAGTTTTCTACGTGTGCCAAAATGAGGGGTAGTGCTATTTTTATGTGCTCTGACACTATAATGAAGCAGTAAGATGACTTTTCAGCAGCATTCGGTAATGACACAGCAACATTTCAGAAGCAATTTTAACACCTATTATCATTGGTCAGTATTGTTTTTTGCTGCTCCATTTATCCATAGGTATAGAGGTCAGAATATCAATCTCCAAAACAAGGTCTCAAACACAGGATATGACAGCAGTATTCATGTTACTTTTCTATTAGATTCCTGTTACTTCATTATTAAACTGCTTGAAAAATGTTCTCCCAGGGAAACAATGGAAATTTGGTACCCCACAAGGTTTCCCATGGATACCCTTCCTTTTATTCACCAATATATCCTCCAGAGGTAACATTTTAGGGATCATTTAAATCCCTTCAGTGCAAGACGAAAAATTAGGTAAAAGGCATCATCGTGTTTCAGGCAGAGAAGAGCGTTAAAATACTTAGATGTCTACAAACCAAAAATCTCTTTAGTGTTTTTTAATCTTGCTCCTCGCAGTAAGAGACTTTCAGGGCCGAGAGGTCTAAAAAATAAAACAGATACATCAATGTTTAAAACAATGCAAAATATTGAATAGCTATTTCTGATGTCCAGGATACCACCACCCACTAGTCTGTCTGTCTAAGTCATCTTATATCAGCTAAAAACAGTTTTGGGGAAAAATAAACCTGTAATGATTAGCAAGGTTCATTTAAGGTAAAAGAACTATATGTTCCACCCCAGTGTGCACACTGTCTTTGGAGTCTGTCAAAATGCTTAATCTGAAATCAAACAAAAAGATGAATTTCCTTATTTTGCCTAAAGTGGTTTAAAAAGATGTTAAAATGAAAAGAAAGGCAGGGAAACTTCCACAGAAAGGTGGTCATATTAAATGTGGATGGGGGTGGACATTGAAAACAATGTAATGCTCACTTAGCATCTTGTTTTCTTTTATTTTCCAGTAAGTAGCAGCAGAAATAGCTGAGCAGGACTATATCAATAAAAATTCTTATACTGCCAGCTGCCAGTTTTAACCATAATCACTGTAATAGCACATGCAAATTATTTGCATGAGACTGAGATACTTCCTTTAAAAACAAAACAAAACAAAACAAAACAAAAAACCCAAACCCTATAAATTACTACAAGGAAGAATGCAATTGAAACTTGAGTAAAAATCCTTGTAATTTTTTTTAGAATTTGTCAAGTTATAATAAAATTCACAGAAGTAGAATATTTGCACAAGGAAATAGTCTGGTCTGTTAAGAGACTCTGACCATATTCCTGAACTCAAAATGGTTTTATAATCATGAAAGCCAATTTAGCTAGTTCAGACTAAAAGAATGCAAACCAGTGCAGTATATATTTAACTGGCTTCTCTTTGATGACCAGTAGACACAACACCACCAACTTTATAGAATTTAAGAAGTTAAAGTATGCATTTACTGAAAGAGTTTTGTTAGTCTCCTCCAGGATATACCAATAGTTTACACTGAATTTAATACGACTTGTGGCTGCACATTGTCTAGGAAGTTAGTTTGTCAAGTCTGCAATAAGCACTGGAAGGTAAAGTACTACCCTCTTAATGCAGGAGAGACGGAGGCAAAACAAGCCAAGTTTGTACCCTGGACAAACCCCACGGGAGAGCAGGGGATGAGGGGTGGAGGAAGAGGAGGTGCTGCTGAGTGCCAGGGGGTGGGGGTTCCAAGAATGGGGGGGACGTGAGTTTTCTACATGTGCCAAATTCACTTCTAAAAGTAAGTTCTCTACATGTGGGGCTGTGGGAGTCTGACCTATGCTGGGGACTTAAAAGCAGTCCCTAATTCCTGCTGATAGCATGTTCTGCTCGCTTGGCTGTTGTTCCTACAGCAGCAGCATGGTGTCCATGCACCCGGCTGCTGCTGCAAGAGGGGTAATGCTGTGGGGTCTCTGCTGGTGGGGTGCTGTCTCCATGGCAGTGGGGGCACAATTCTGGTATCCCTAATAAGTCAGCACCTGGTGCTCATGCCCCACTCATCCACCCCAAATTAAGTTACTGTTCCTACACATTTTTTATAATGACTACTCAGCAACAGCATCCAAGAATAACTTAATTCTATTAGCAGAGCTCACATTTTTTCAAAGCTATTGATAAGTTTACACTTAACTACTTCCCAACTATCTGCTCTAGTTTTATTCATGTCAGCCTTGCAGCTGGCATCTCCATAACAATTACTTTTTCCTGTTCTATAATTGTGCTCTTTTATTATGTCATATATTATCACCCCAGCTTAGCTCTACATAGTTAAGTTAGCTTTATGTTTATACATTTCACTTACCGTACAATTTCTTCAATTTGTTGACTTATAGTTATTCTACCAACAAACCTGGGAAAGAAAGCCATATGTCAGCAGGATGAATTCCTAATGGCTTTTAGATGTAAAATCTTCAATATTAAAGAAAGATCTTTATTTTATTTATATAGGGAATGTACAACATTACAGTGGTACATACTATATAAAAGAAGTCTTTAGTTTGAAGTTTTTTTTTATTAATGGATGATATAGATCAGTCTTGATCATTTTATGAGGTGTATTTCAGAAAGTTGTCATTAAGAGCAATGAGCCATTCATTCTTCAAAAAAATGGTATTGAGTGATTTTAGAAAATCCGCACCACTCAGTTAATGAAACATGAACAAAATGTGCTTTATTTCTTTTGTTGAAAAAGATAAAAGATTATGTTGCATCAGAAAATAACTTAAAAATAAAAGCCAGTTTACCAGTCAATATATTTTTCATCTGAATAGCATTGTTGCTTCTAATATAGCAGATTCATTACCATTTTACCTTTTTTCAACTTTTTAAGTTTCACATTTTCTAACATTTTACATGCTTTATAGAGGACCTAGTTTAAAGGCCTGTAGAAATTCACCATCATTAACTTAGCTAGTCCTTTCTGACATTAGTAGCTTTGTGTCCGTCACAGCCCACTCTAAAGACCAAATATTTAACAGCTAGTTAAATATGTATTCTTGTTAAGAACTTCAAAATTCTTGGCAATCCCAACTTCAATTAAAATAAACTGATGCTTTATGGTATGATTACTAAAACTATTAGGCAAAAAAAGGCTCTAACGTGCCACGCTGCCCTAACTGGTTCAGAAACGTATGAGTTTTCTTAAGCAATACCTACTTTGTCAAATGAGAAGTAGGTTGTTGCTTATGAAAGCTCATACCTCTCTGAATCAGGTGGGTCTCCAAGATACCACCCTCACCGCCCTTCTGCTTGCCTAGGCGAATGCAGTCAGCCACCTCTGTCTTTAAAACTATGAACTGAAAATTACCCACTGCTAATGAAACTACTTGAGATTAGGAAAATATGAAACGTTACCTTAATTACATTAAAGGTCAGAAATAGCTACAAGATGTAAAGCACAGGTCTAACATAGTATCTGTTATGAGAAATACTACTTTAAGAGGTCTGTCACATTGCTTGCTGACTTCAGCTTTTAAATCAGACATACTGGTGAAACTGTAGTGAAGAACTTATTAATATTAGGGAACACAGTTCAAACCCTCCCTGGACCATAACATAAATTAATTATACCTTAAGAACAAAGACAAAATTTGATACGTTTTAAACCTAACACAACAGAAAGTGGTAATAGTAATGAGGACTGAAGTATGTTGGCAGAACCAGATAAAGCTTCATTTTTCTCCATCAAGCCTCCCCAAACACCATTACTATTATTATTTATTAATTTTTAAAATAAATGTCCTGCTTATAAAGGCAATACAGACCCATCAAGAGTCAAGTAAGACTGAAGATGTGCTTGAGTCTATGTGACTCAGAAAGTTACAGTGTGAAGGCACACCAGTTTCTGTAGCTACTAATACACAAAGGAAGGATTTGGCTTGTATCACCAACTTTAACACTCCAGGCAAAACGATCAGGTAGCCACTTACAGCTGGGTCAAGTGGGGGCAGCACAACCCCAGAACAAGTTTGAACTTGTGCTTCTGGATGCCTTAACTGCTCTGCCATCCATGTTATGATATAAAGTGGAAATATTATTGAATTTTACTTCTAATTTACTACTAAAAACCAACAAAGAATTTGTTTGATTTGTCCACCATTTGCAACGTTATGCAGCATAACAGCACACATACAAATGCCTACATTTATTTACTAACGCATGAAACTTAATCTGACATTTCTGGAGCAATTTTCTCCCAACAGAAGCCACAGCATCCTTAAAAATAGTAAGTATTTCACTTTCAATTGATTCTGAAATTCTGAAGAATAAAGCACTACCTGTATAGGTCTGCTTCTGGCTGCTGACATTCTACAACAGCTACGAGTTTATCCAGGTTGGCAACTGACTGTAATACTGCTGTTTCTGGGACTGCAACATGCGTCTGAAAAAAGAATACTTTCTATTAACTTCACGACTTCAAAACACAGAAAAAAAAAAGATCTGCATTTGAGTACATCTTTGGTTCACTGAAGTACTAATTTGCTGGTGGTTAGTTAGTCAAAAATCATCCAGATGAGACTCACAGGCCTGGAAGCGACCTCAAGTTCATCTTGCAGATGCAGGACACACTATTCCTACACCAATCCAAGCAAATGCTTACCTGGTCTCTTTTGGAAAACCTCCAGTGAAGGGAATTCCACAACTTCCCCAGGCAGCTTATCCCACTGTCCTACTATTCTCTCACTAAGGAAGTTTCTTCCCCTAAATTTAAATTAAATTTTCTTTGCTGTAATTTAAACCCGCTGTGTCTTGTCCTTTTCTTTATGACAGACTTTCAGAAATGTGGGCACTACTATTGTGTCCCTACCTTAAACTCCTTTTCTTCAAACTAAAAGGCCAGAAGTGCACACAATACTCCAGCTGAGGCCTAACTGGTACTAAGCAGGGTGGTACTATCACAGGGGTGGGTAATTATTTGGGCTGGAAGGCCACTTAGGGAATTTTGGTGAGCTGTTGTAGGCCTGGTCAGAATTCCTCTGGCCTCCCACCCGCTCCACAACAGCTAACCAAAATTCCTTAAGTGGCTCTGCCCATGCTCAACCGGGCAGATGGGACGAGTCCATGGTCATGGAGTGGCATCTGGGATCAGGGCAGGCAGGCAGGGCCAGTATCATGATCATGAGGCCATGATAGTGTGGGGCCGGGGACAAGGCCTGGGGCACAGCCACGATCCGCTCCCAAAATACCCCTGACGGGTGCCACTTCTGCAGGCCAGGGTGTGTGGAGAGTGGATCATAGCTCTGCTTGGACCCCAGCCATCACTGCTCCATGATCCTGATCCCCGCCCCGGCGCCGGCCCCACCTTCCCGTCCTACTCCTGGACAGCACTCCTCGCCTGCTTGCAGCCCTGTCCCATCTGCCCAGGCAAGCATGACCTGTCCATGTGGGTCCTGGGCCTGCCCACTCCATCTGGCATCCCTGGCAGTGGGTGCAGGACAGACAGGCCAGAGAGCCCAGGCACTGGGGTGGGTCTGGCAGCAGCAGTGGACACTGGCAGCAGCACTGTGGGTGCTGCTGGCAGGCAAGTAGGTGCTTCTGGCAAGTGAGTTCAGCCATGGTGACGCCCCAGCCCCACTGTACAGCCGGGGTGGTGGGACCGGTCACATGTGCCCCAGCCCAGGCTGCCCTCCACATCTGGGCTACATGGGGCCAAAGGACCCACTGCGGCTAGATAAAATCCCTTGACAAGCCTGATCCATCCCACAGGCTGTATTTTGCCCACCCCTGTACTATCACCTCCCTTGCCTTACATACAATGTCTGTTAGTGTAAGCGAAAACTGCATTTATTTCTTGCATGCAACTGCAGTGCAATGATGATTCATGCTGAGCCTATAACCCATCAAAATCAGCAGGTGCTTTCCCACAGGTGCCTCACCAATTATCTCCTATTCTGCGTTTATGTATTTGGTTTTGGTGCTTTTGATTCCTGACGAGGGTTATGGAATACTACGCAGAAGCATGATTTCTTGAGTATGCCAGATGCTTCCCCACCATAATGAAAACTACTTTACAAGCCACAGTACTGATAGCATTTCTCACAATAATTAACTGTTAATACATAACACTTCTACTAACAGATCAATAGAGATCCCTGGTCCCACTGATGTTAACAATTTCAAATCAAAGTGAAATAAGAAGTGTAACACTTAAATTAGAACTCAGTTACATAGGTAAACAGTAATTTTGATATATTAAGACACATCTTATTGATGGAAGTCAGTCTGCTACTTGCTCATACCGAGTGGTACCTCATTCAAAATATAGGCCCTTTGATTTCAAACGAGTCAGAGTAAGGGTGGCAGATTAAGGTTTGAAGTGTTCCACAACACAATAAAATAGTCCAGCGGTTCCCAAACTGACAGACTGCGTACCACCAATTTAAAACGATACATCTTTAAGTACCACCAGCAAATTTTTCTCCTATAAAGTAATTATAATAATTCTGTTAATGCGTACCACTGACAGGCTGCCTGCGTACCACTGGTGGTACCCGTATCACAGATTGGGAACAGCTGAAATAGTAGATAATGAAGGACTGTAATTAAGTGTCTTAGTAAGGACTCAAAATAAAAGTATCAAGATAAGCTCTCTTCAGGGAAGAGAATGTCACTATTTACATTTACTTAAAACATGTACATTGTGGGAGAAACCATAAATTAAAAAAAATGTAATTAAAGTTGAGACAAGCACAAACTTCTCCTCTGAATAATTTATCTGTTTACTGTACTGGTCTTTATTTATTTAATTAATTACTCACCAGGTTGAAACATCTAACCGGGTTCTCATATTTCATACTAGCAATGCACAAATATTTAGACAACCAACCTTGAGATTGGTTTCTCCATCCAAACTAGCAGTAGTAACATGGCATGAACCTTCAGCTCTGTCAGAGGAGAGAAGTACAAGGTCGGCAGGGAAAGTCTCATCTTTGGCTACTCTGACAATATCACCCACCTGAGAAAAATGAATAAATAATATATGCATATATTATGCTGTTAAAAATAAGTCAGCACTGTTATTAAGAACATAAAAGAGCACCATAAAATTGTGATAGAACAAATGAGCACTTTACTCAAGTACTATCAGTTTAACTGCAAAAATCAGTTTTTAGGTACTTACCCTAATATTTTTTGATCTAGTTTTTACAAGGCCACCACTTCGAACAACATAAACTGGAGCTCCATTTACTTCATTATCTGCTTTATGTCGTAACCAGTCTTCATAGCCCTGAAGGAAAAAAAAAAAAAAAAAAAAAAAAAAAAAAATCAGATTACAAGTATGCACTTCAGGAATAACTCCCAAGTGTCATGAGGCAGCCTGGCTTTGTAACCAGCTTGCTGCATGGTCCTGAGCAGCTCCTAGCCTCTGTTCTATTCAGGTTCTACTGCATCCATCATCCTAAAATCTGTACACTTCTTGTGTTTTTATTAGTTTCACATTTCTTAAATAAGGTAAGAAATGTAGAAAGAGTGGCACAGGACTATGCAAATTGAAACAAATAGCTGAGATGAAGCTTTCTGAAAAAAGATAGTTAAGCATGAGTATTTGTGCAATTTGATGTTTCAGGGACATGGGTTGTAGCCATGTTGGTCTAAGGACATAGGAAGACAAGTTTCTTTGGGTAAATCTGATATCTTATTACACCAACTAAAATGGTTGGGAAATTTCTTCTTTGCAAGCTTTTGGATACAAACACCCAAAAGCTTGCGAAGAAAAAAAATCCAACCATTTTAGTTGGTCTAATAAAAGATATCGGATTTACCCAAAGAACCTTTGTCTGTTGAATTTGAGAACTTCACAATATAGAAATGGATTAAGGCACATAAGTAGGGAATACAGACAGTCATACCCACAGACGCACTTGTTGATCACAAGTAGAAGTAATGGACTCAAATGGCTCTCTTTTCTGCTAACCTATGACAGAACCCAGACAGCTTGCTTTGGTCATTTTTTTCAACAGCTGAAGCACCCATTGTCACAGAAGGATTTTAGCTTGGATGGTATGTGTGGCTGATATACTCTTTTTGCACAGCCAATGGAGATGACTGTGTGCAAGAGACTCAGACATGGAGGAAAATTAAAATTATCCACAGGGTTCTAGGGCAGCCTTTTTTAGTGGGGGTGGGATATAATTTTTTAGTGGAAGAGACTAGTAGATTTTTCTTCTTCCAGATGTTCAAAGGGTATAATAAAATAAAAATAAGCGTAAAAATGTAGGTCTACTTTTCCTTTGTAGATCACCCTTAATATATTGCTCACTTATGCGATTGCTGCTCAACATATTCATGATCTGAATATAGTTGAGAAGAGATGGAAAAACACCATCAGATGGGCAGAGAAAAACTAATCAGACAGTAAATCCATGAATCTGAACTGTTAGCCCTGTCCCTGAAACCAAGAAAAATGCTACGATATAAGAGGCAGTACTTGCTACTTGTTGACTAACGCTAGCTGTGATTCAGTGTTACATAATCTTTCCATTCATATTTAAAGCACAACTTTGCGTGCATTATACATTTAATTCAGAATGACAACAACAGGCCTAGTGGAAGAATAGGCAAGTTCACAGACATACATAAAATTCAAATGTGAACATTTAAGAGAGTCTGACATCGCACAAAAGGAAAAGCCTGAGGCAGATTTACTGTTACCGTTTCTATATATAAATATGTGCTTCTAGTTTTATCCAAAAAACCCTCCAGAAACACTTAAGCACCTCCACAGATGATAGTGAGAAACATCGTTCATGAGATCAATACTAAACAGAAAGTTCATTTTATGTGGGGTAGTTACTTTCCACTGATGCTTGAAAAACTGATTCATGACCTTTCTTTGCCCAAAATGCTACAAAGCAACCAACTGATTCTCAAGTGCTACCTGCAATTCCACTTAAAAAGTACTCTATTATGATGCTTACGATGGGAGGAAAAAAGACTTGATGATGTGTAATGCAAGGATTTCTTAGGGTGATATCTTTTATTGGGCACTTGTGAAAGCTTATCACTCATGTGACAAAGCCATAGTGAATTACACAGATCATCCTAAGCTCATGCTGATAATACGTTTATACTACCTGTTACACACCAACACACACTCTACTACCAGCAGCACACAATATTACAGAAATTTATTTTAGGCATACTACAGAGGATTTTCAAAAAGTATTACTGAGTTGCTTCTCATCTCTCTCTACCTAGAAAACTGGGTGAAATTAGGGCAGAGCAATAAACTCTGGTGCAGTTTGGGCTGGAGTCCACTGATCCTGAACGCCATCTCTACATATGCGCCTGGGACTGCAGCACTTTTCAGATGGAGCTGAGTAGCTCCTGGCTGGCAGGGGGTTCAGGGGGTTGGCCCGGGTTCCAGCATCAAGCAGTGAAGGGGCTGGCTGGGTGCTTAAGCACAGGCTAGGCAGCCCCCACACTTTAACACCCTTGTGATCCCACCAGCCCTTCACGGTCTACACGTGCATTTCAGTGCATATAAGTACTCTGTCCATAAGAGAGTGCTATCCCCAACAGTACTGTCTTATGGCAGAGTTAATTCATTTACTGTACCCTAATACTGGTGCATGTGTAGATGGTGACGCTTTACCCTAGAGCTAATTCTACTCAACAGTAAAGTGCACGTGTAGATGCACCCACTGGGTATATTTAGCTGCAACAAATCCAACAGTAAAGGTGTCACAGACATTCATAAAAAGCTATAACATGCTTGAAATAATTTTTTCTGTAAAGAGATGGCAAGGCAGGGTGACATAAAAAACAACAAATGCAAAGTCTGAAAGAAAACAAAGACTGGGTCTCACTGAATTGCTGGGAATATCCTCATCCCAGTGAAAGCTGCTTCTGGCCTTCAAATGCCTTAAGAAGCGCAACCTGAACATTTTGATATGCATACAAAATCTTACATTGATACAGGATTAAATCTTGCTTGCCTTAACCTTGAACGAGTGATAATTCTGGGAGCTGAAATAAATGTTCCTATGGCAAGTTAACTGAGACAATCAGAAGTGTACAGTGGACATATCATTCATAGCATTTGTACTACTGCTATGCGAGTCATAGGTCTGAATATCTGTCTCAACAACATAAGAGCTACAATAGCTTCTATTACTATAACCCAACACGTTTAAATGATTTCTGAACCACGTTAAGGGAATAGGAATAAGAACAACTTCTTAGAAAAAATAAATGAATAAATAAATGAGTTCTACCAAATTTCTCAGTTTTAGGTCACTAATGTTTCTGAACCATTATTTTGTAGCCCACCTACAACAGACATTTCTGAATCACAGCATTGGATAACCAAAATATTTTTCTGCAAGGTAACTGGAGAAAATGCTTCTCAATTATGACATACTGATGACTAATGTCTGTACTATTAAATGACAAATCAAAACGATCAAGAAAAGGATTCAAAAGGTGAAGTACTTAAATTTGAATGTAACAATACATAAATAGCTGAAAAGTTTTGCGTAGGTGTGCACTGATAGAGATTTTGGGGGCCGACAGCTGATTTTTAAGGAGGCATATCGGCTGAACCAATCATAGTTTCACAGATTTAGGGTCGGAAGGGACCTAGTAGATCTTCTAGCCCGACCCCCCGCCAAGGCAGGAGAACAACAAAACCCCAAAAACAAAAACGGGACTCAAATGAGTCCAGCCAGGTAGGCATCCAGCCTCTTCTTAAAGACCCCCAGGGTAGGGGCCAGCACCACTTCCCTTGGAAGTTGGTTCCAGCTCCTAGCCGCCCTAACTGTGAAGTAGTTTTTGCGGATGTCCAATCTATACCTCCTCTCCATCA